GGGATTATTACGGCAGATCCTTTCCTTCCAATCTTTGTGGTAAGTACTAGCTCCTTTTTTTTGTTGAAAAAAAAAATAAAAAAATAAAAGCCCTTCATATACGCATTAACATATAACAGAGATATGTATACATTCATATTACTATACTGTTTAAAAAAAAAAGAAGAGAGAAACAGTTATCCTTTGGGGCTTTATTTTTAGTTGACAGAAAAGTCTGTATGCCTAAAAACTATTGATGACCCAGATGCAAAAGAGCTGTCAACAGAATAGTTTAATCCTCTGATATTCTTTTGTTTTTTAAATAGTATAAACTCCACTGCCTGTTTTCAAAATTCTTTCATGTTATCTTCATCTGTCTCTCTATCAAAAAATATTTCCCATTGTCACAAAATGTTTCAATAACCATCTACTTCAAATCTGACTAGTAATCTCATGTGTCTGATTCTGTATTCTGATTGCATTTTAGAATTTCTAGATACTTCATTTTAATTTTCTTTTTAATTTTACATTTACAACCATTTTAAATTAATAAAGAGGGCTGCGTTGTCTCGAGGCATGGTGTCCATCTCAAGTGCTAGAGGTTCAATCCCCGTTAAGGGCTGGGATTTTTTTCACGTGAACTTCTAGTATTTCCCCCTGGTCTCTGGGTCTTGAGATCGGACGCACATGTGCATTATTGCGCACGATAAAAATCCCTTGGCAATTGGAAATTGTAAAGAGTAGCCTAACAGTGCTGCTCGGGCAAAATTTGCAGTTAAAAATCTACCCAAAGTATTTCAGGATTCTCGTCGGTGTCACAGAGCCTGTGCACTGTGCTGAGCTTCTCTGGACTCGGACTTGAGTTAGAAGAAGAACGGAGCACTTATGGGTTACATCCGGGTGCCATGAAGTTATCTGTTGTTCAAAACCTCAATATGAATGCAAAATAGCCTTATGCAATGCTTTATTTTTTTAAGTACCATCATTTGTATTTCATGTATTCAGAAATTATAAAATCTAAAAAAATAAGTATAATTTTTTCCCTGACTGCAAACAGAGAGAAAGCATTAAAAACGCTGACTAAAATTCATATAGCTAAATGTTATAAATTTTCAATACAGGCAATTAAAATCAGGTGACAATGTTGAAGATGTTCTTCCTTCTCTTCTACGTTCATCTGAAGCTGTAGCTGCAATGTGCCCATTTAAAGAATGGCACCTTTTGGCCAACACATCCAGCTTCTGCAGATATCTGTTTACCAGGTTAGCCTTCCCGGTTAATTAAAGATGTTCTAAAATTACTTTGCAAAAAGAACTACTAAACAATCAAGCAAAACCGACAAATTCATAATGTTTACAGAAGTCTTATCTCTATTGTACACACTTTTATCCTAAGAACAGTAAATTATAGTTGTGTATCTTTACAACACGTTGCAGAACCAACGCCAGCTTTTTTGGCTGTTGTGGTTTTTGTAGGTAAATTTTATGTTTAGTCATTTGCCATTACTTCCTGAACGGTCAGTTCTTGGTAACACTGTCGAAACCAACAAGACAAATTGTCCACAGCTGGGATCAAACTTGGCACCCCAGCATTACGAAGCGCGTTCTAAGCCACAAACCCTTACTACAAGAACTGTATGTGTGTGTATATATAACTGCATTAGTTTCTCATTAGTATTTTAATTGTGTTTTTTTTTTCAATTTACTGTTTTTGTAATCTCTAATTGGAATTTTTGAAGTTCAAGATACTGCCTCATATATACTTGACCATTGAAGTGGTTTAAAACTTAAAACTATCAACATAAATGTTATAGCATGATCTCAGTGATGAAACAATACCAGCTTCTGTTTCTGGTTTATACTCTATTATACATTATACAAATTATACTCTATACAAAAGCTGCCATTGAAACATCTGACAGCAAGTCTATAAATAAAATAAAACATATATGTTAAAAAGATCTATGTAAATCTTTTATAAAAACATGGCAACACCGTCACATATAAGTTCTAATTAAAAGCTGCTTTACAATAACAGCTAAAAGGTCATAATTATTTTAAGAGAAATATAAACATTAGAAAATATATTTACATGACTGCCATCCGTATTTCTTAAGAAATAAAAATATATAACCAACGAACACAATTAGGCCTTTGTGCTCAAAATGAAAGAGGCACAGTTCCTTGTAGTCAGAATATACTGACAATTTTCTTCTGTGTTTTACAACTATAAACTGCAGGCATATATAATCTCTCCATTGCTTCTTTGTTGAATGCACTTTAAAAAAAAATGTATATTACTAACAGGGATTATCTGTGTAGCAATACCTTTGTTTATAAAACAAAGAATGTATCTGTGAGATGGTGAAATGATTCCTAAATATTTTCAGAATAAACAAAATGAGGACTGGGTATCTCCAAAAAACTATTTCGCAGTGTCTGTTGCAAAATATAAGTATTATTTTGTCAATGATTTCTTTAACTCATTCTATACAAAGTTAAAGTCGAGAGGATGAACATAACTGCACCAGGTTTGATCCCATATGGCTCAGTCTCCCTCAGCAGAATGACCAGCCACCTATCCGGAGTATTGTACAAAGAATGAACTTCATAGCTCATGCGAAGATCACCACTGATCTCCCTAAAAGTTGCATTTGTGAACTGAACTATGTAGTAAAATGAACCCAGGACCTTCACAGCATGAGGCAAACAGCTTGACCACTCTGCCATGGAGAGACCCCTCCCCCACCCCATTCAGTAGCAAGCAATTCAACGTTCATTTGTTAGTTTCAGCTTACATGATTCACTGTTCTTCACTGTTTGTGTCCCATTCAATTATTGCACTAACCCACTTTTTTTCTTCTTTGTTCACCGGCTATAAGCTCCGGTGGAAAGTGCCAGCTGTTTGTCCATTGGGACTTTGGCTTTGTGCCATGGCCTGAGTTTGCATGTACATCTGTTTTACAGGCTTCTTGTGTGCAGTTGTTACTCCTTGCGGCGCAGGCAGGTGCACTCCAACTTCAAAGGAAGCTCCCAAATAATGGACTCTTGATATGCTGTTGGGGAAGCAGTGGGTCTATTCTTGTTTTCCCCACTTTTGGGGCCCCAGAACCCACACAGGGAACTAACCCCCTTAACTTCAGTTGTTTTGTTACTTTAACTACTTCTGTCTCAAAGTCTTCTTCATGTTTCCTTTGTCCAAGTGACAGAATTGTGCTGTGTCTGTTTATAACAAAGCCTTTCAGTCGACACATCCGACCTTATTGCGCATTTGTTCACCGGGTTAGTCCAAAGGTCGTAAAATTTTAACACACAAAGACCTACATAACTGTTAGTTAAAGTAACAACCTATTAGGATAGATTGATTCAAAGCAACACACCCCTCGGACTGAAAGATTTAAATGAGATACACTTTTTCATATCCAAAGCTCTGTTCCCTACAAATAGGACAGTTCTTGCCCCGGAGGTGGGAAGCACAACTGTCACAACAGCAGATATGCTTGCATGGAACAAACATGATCTGGGATGGCTTGATAAGGCACACTTTACAGTTTGCCAAGGGAATCTCATCAGTAATGGCACCAAAGTCTGGGCTGCTATGATCCAGGTCTGAAGATGTGGACTCTTCATCATCTGAAAACAGAAATTAGGGTTAAAACCAATTTTCTAAATAGTTTATTATGTTACATAAAGTAATTATTCAAGAAACATATTCACTATGTATGAACATTTCTTCTCAAAAGTCAATGCAAACACTAGGACCTCCACCATGTTTAAAATTAATAACACTATTAGGTTTCTGATCAATATGGTGGATAGGCAGCCTTGCTGTTTTTAGTAGTGGCAAGTATATGCTTCTGAAAATTGTTAGCTGCTGCATTCTACTCCATACGTGGACTGAAGAGATCTCGTTCTGCCAGCAAGCTACTGAGATGAGTACATGATGTGACACTGCGCTGCAGATTTCCTTCGGAATGCTTTTTGACTGTACCCAGTGTTTGTACTGTGTACTGCAGATGCAGAAAACTGAGTGACCTGCTGCTCTTAAAGAACTGGTGGTTCCTTATGCAATTAACTGCATTTGCAGCTACTGATTTGTTGCAGCTGTTGCTTCAATTAACAATGAACTGCATTTATGGTGTCAGCCTGTTTGTGCTGGCACTTCTGATGGCTGCCTTATGCATTTGATTTGTGCGTATGCTATTGGCTTTGCTGAGACTGCAGTCTTTGTCAATTTTTTCACAAGGGACAGTAATAAGCATTCAGTGTGGTTTTCACTTGTACAGGAACAGAGCAACTATGGCGTGACCCACAGGCTATGAAGTAGGAACTGATTACCATAGTAACACATCCATTACAGAAAATTATTCCTGAAACAGTCAAAACGAATATTCAAACATATGTATATATGTGTTTTCCAAATAATGATTTTTCAGTACTTGTGGGCAATAACTGGGATAAGTAGAATTTGGCTAATTGTTCTGACAGATACATTTTTAATTAGGCATACATATTTATGTCATGCTTGCATTAATGACACTGTCACAAATTGTATGTTCAAAACAGTCTTTTAAAGGCTTACAATGCAAGCTGTGTCAAGAAAACTGCCATTACCCCCCCCCCCCCCCTTCCCCCACACATGCACTAACGCACACAAACACACAAACTGTAATTATCTCTTATCTTGAAAGTCTTACCACATATGAAGCTCTGCACGGATGTTCTCTCATTGTCCCGAATACTAACACTATATGAGACTTACCACATATGAAGCTCTGCACGGATGTTCTCTCATTGTCCTGAATACTAACACTATATGAGACTTACCACATATGAAGCTCTGCACAGATGTTCTCTCATTGTCGCGAATACTAACACTATATGAGACTTACCACATATGAAGCTCTGCACAGATGTTCTCTCATTGTCCCGAATACTAACACTATATGAGACTTACCACATATGAAGCTCTGCACGGATGTTCTCTCATTGTCACGAATACTAACACTATATGAGACTTACCACTGGAAGATGCTCCTTGTCTCCGCTTCAGTTCTGCCATTAATGACTGTATGTGCTTCTCTTGATCTTGAATCTGAATTTCTTTGTACTCTATAACTTGATCTCTCTGTTCTATCTGCTCTCTTTGTTGCTGTAACATCTGTGTGTAAAGAAGCTATCATATTATTCACTAAAAAAGTCAACCTAAATTAGAACTAGTTTATTAATTATGGCCACAGTCATCTTAGAGATAGGGTCAACGTTATCCTTCGAAGTTAGGAGTACATCTGCCTGAGAGGCAGGGAACAAGAACTTCACACAGATAAGCTAGTAAAAACTGATGTTCACACAAAACTCAGGCCCTAGTACAAAACCAAAGTCCAAATGGACGAACAACCAGACTTTCCACCGGAATACACAGCTGGTGAACGCAAAGAATATTTATTTAGGAAATATGAGCTACCACAATGTTTTAAACCTCAAATGCTATTGTCCCTTCTAATTAGGGCTGTACCGAATAGTCATTTTCACTATTCGGCTGAATACGAATAGCGGGACCAACTATTCAGCCGAATATGAATAGTGTAACATCATCATCAGGTGCTTACCAACTGGCATGGGCGACTATGCCTCACCACAATCTGCGATCTCCTGCAGCATGTATTAGTTCGTGTGCTGACGCACCTCCATGCGATGCAACAAGACTGACAAGAATCTTCTCTTGTCTTCCTCTATCCCTCCTTCCACAGATTTTTCCAGTGGTCACCACATGTTCCATTTTCCCTCTTCTCATAACATGGCCGAAAAATGATGACTGTCTCCTTCTGATGTCTGTGATTAGTTGTCTTTGGGCTCCTGCCCATTTCAAAACCTCTTGGTTGCTTTTTTTGGCTGTTCAAGGTATTTTAAGCATTGTTCTGTAAAAATACATCTCTGAGGCCTCAAGAAATTGTTTGGTCTGCCTACCGATTTTCCAGAACTCACAGCCATATGTTAAAACTAGATGTATGTAGCAAGCAAGAATTCTTTTTCTAACCTTCAATGACAAAGATATTTTGCATAAGATGTTATAAATTTTATAAAATGCAGTTATTGCCTGTCGCCTGTCTTTTTTCGACACTGGTGAGAAAAGACAAAATTTAAATTTTAACTTTTAAGTATCTCCATGCCTTCTTTAATAATGTAACAATTTATAGCCGACTTTTCTTGATTTTCGCCACGGCACCCCTGGCATACGCACACAGTTTGAGAACCTCTGCATTAATGCCTCGGTCGAGTCAGCAGAAAAAGACCTTGCCAGCTGCTGTACCACGCAACCAGGTCCCAGTTTCCCTCGTTATGACAGACTAAGGCAACAGCAACTATTGTGTTAATGAGAGAGTTATTTCAGTTCATCGCAGTGCATGCAGAAAAGGGTGTAAGGTAACCACTATTCGTATTCGCCCCGACCGCAACTATTTGGCGGAATACCGAATAGTTATTCAGTCCACTATTTGGCCCCAAAGCGAATACAAAGCGAATATTCGATAGAGCCCTATTTCTAATACTGTTTTGAGACATGTCCTCCTGTCAAACAGTAGACCCAGTATTACTTATTGTTCTGCTTCATTTTCCATCTAATTCTACCACTTCATTTCACTCTGAGACAAAAAATTTCTACATAAAATACAAAAAGAAGCTCAACAGAAAGAAAGAAGAGATGCACATAGAAATATGCAAATGCTCCAAGCAATGTGTTAATTAGCATACAATAGGAAACTCATAGAAAAGGCAAATAGAAAAACCCTGAAATAAACAAATTACACTGAATTTGTGAATCACAGACAGAACCCTAGTGTAGGAAAACATAAATATGAATGGGTATACAAACACATTAAAATTGTATCCATGCTTCCTGTTTTTCTTCCCTTATTTAAAGGACTTCTACACATGATTTGTTTAAATGGGTTTAACCCACTGACCAGTTTTTAGTACTCATTTCATCTATTTACTTTTGCAGGACCTTGTACTTATTAAAAACTTTAACCACAAACTTTTTCCTTATTTCTTTGGTTTCTTGCTTCTTTCATAGTAGTCATTTCCATGTCCATAAGATGTGTCTTGAGTTAAACTTAGTTTCACTTCTTCTCAGATGGTGATCTGAATCAACATGAACCTCTGAAAATTGTATTATGTACAGATAATCTAAATCTCTTGATAAAACAAATATGACCAAATTAGGTTCAGGGACATACAGTGTAACCAGAAAAGACAATGTGATTTGTTTGTTTCAGTGGAAAGGACTTATCTTTTTTTCCCTCCCTATTATATGTTTATGTAACTCTATAGTAATACACCTGCCAAAGCACAATTAAATTAATTGTGCAATATACTGTTGGGGTTAGCATTATTTGACTATGAAATTTTTTTATTTTTTTATACTGTTGTCAGGTGATATTCACATTACTTTATGTATTCCTTTTTTTTAAGGCGTAACAATTCCATCTTTGACATACTGATTAACTGTGCAAATATCTGAATAACTGAATAATTCTCAAATTCCAATGATCATCAAACATGTCTGTGTTTTCCCCATGATCTCTTCATAACCCATGTTTTCCAATAATAGCTTGGCATTTAGGTCACCAAACAATATTCTGACATTGCCATTTCTTGACCATCTATATTACTTTGGGAGCTGCCATAGTGTAGCAGACAGATGCTCGCCCACCGATCAGAAGGTAGAGGGTTCGGGTCCTGACAAAGCCTGACTTTTTTTTTTTTAAAGAAAATTACCTTGGCTTCCAGGTCAACCCAGCCTTGGGTAAGTACCAGATATAGTCATGGGAAGTAAAGGTGGCCAGCCTGATGCTGACCATCTCAATCACCCACGGAGTGCCGAGTGGTCTATAAAATATAGGTCTAGCCCTATATGCCCTGTATACCTGAAAGCGTAAGAAAGGGTCCTTTACTTTACTATATTACTTTGAAGTTTCCAATTTAATTCCTCCCTAGTTCATCCTCTTATATGCTGGTGCACAGAAACCAAAAAGAATGAAATCCATGTTTCATTTTGTGGTTCTATACACTGCTGTTAGTCAAGAGTCTATAACTCTATTTCCCCTTCTATTTAAGCTGTCTATGCCTCTTTCAATAGCACTGAGGCTCTATACCCCAACTGGGTAAAAAGGTCAGAAGTTAGAAGGAATACATGATTCAGTACACGTAAAAGCTTAAAAAGTGTAAGCACTAAAAGCTGATTACAGGTTAGCTGTAACTTGTTTTCAGTACTGATATCCTAACCCATCAGTTTGACCCATTCATGCTTCATCCTTTAATGCAGCTGTCTCTATGCTCAATGTATCCATTATGAGCTGACTGGCATACCTTCTTTCTTTGAACAGCAACAGTTTCTGCATGCTTGCCCTTGCTTAATGCCTATTTTCAGCAGGTGGTTCATCATCCCTCACTCAACTGTCTTAATGTTTCTGGAATGCAGCACATTAAGTATGTTTGCCCTGTTCATACTTCCTCCTCCACTAACCACTACTGACACAGCTGATCTGTGGTTCTTTCATTTCATTTTAACATAACGTGTCCTGGTGAGTACAGTCAGTATACTTCCTTGAGGCATGACTTCTGGATGCTGTCAACTCATTCTAGATAAGAGTTCGATATTTGGATCTTCTTATGCATGCTCACAGAGTCTGTAATTATCAATGCATGAGTTGTTTTCTGTTCTGCCAGCCATGCAAGTGCAACTGTGACAGTTGCTACCTCCATCATCATGTTAAAAGTAGCTGAACAGAACGCCTGATTTTCTTCCTCTGTCTTTCCACTCATCCAGACCACATCGCATGAATCAATGAGATATTTGTATTGACGGCAATTTTATCTGGTTGAGTGTGCTCGTAAATGAAGGCTTCTATTCCAGCATCAACAGCTGTTTGGCCCCATTCTGTGCAATACCTGCCCAGGGTGATCATAACAGCAATGTGCTTCTGCAATTTTTATGGTGTTTCCATCCATTCAGCACCAAGCCTAATATATTCCAATGGAAAAATCTGGTTAACAGTGTCCTCTGCTTCAGCCTCCAGGATTGCCCTGTCTTTAGCACTTATATATATATATTTTTTTTTTTGGATTACCTTTTGATTACAGGTGGGGAAAGTAATGATCATCTAGAAATATATTAATTTCACAGCTGAGACAAATTTTTTCATTTACTATTATGGCTATCAAAAACCGTAAACTTACTTCTTTCTGCTGTTGTAACTGCTCTACAAACTGCTGTTCCAATTCTATTCTGACCATGTCCCGCAACTCTAGCTCAAATGTCGTTTGTTGCAGTTCTCTATCTTTTGCGCTAATCTGCTGCTGGTATGCTGCCTTTTCAGCTTTCAGTTGAGCTTCTTTGGCTTGAAACTGAGCCTCCTTCATCTTGTATAAGGCTTCATTTTCAAGAACTTCATGACTTTTTTCACAAAGTCGTGTGTAGTGTTCATCTGCTGCCTTTAATGTGCCAAGTAAAAGTGCTTCATTGGGGTAGCGAACTGGAGATAAAAATATGTATGTCAAAACAGGCTGATCATAAGACATCTACATTTTTCTTACATCTAGACTATAAAAGAAACACTTTTGATAAACTAATGAATTCACTACTGTTTAGATACTGATCTTGAAATTAACACAGATTAGAAAATAATCAGTTATTAATTACCTAAATACTGAATGCTTCTCTAACCGCGTTTTAACAGCACGAATCTTTCACAGTAATTCTCTATACTCCTGTGTCACTTCCCTTCAGTAATTTGCCACTGCTGTTTGAACAGTCAGCTCTCAACACCACTGTTGAAACTAATACAAGGCGGTCTATTGGGGAAACTACCCACACATGAGATCGAACCCAGCACAGTGCAGTCGCAAGGCCTATGCCACAGGCACTGACCGTATTATTATTACTGAATGTAAATAATCACTGTTAGGGAAAACACATGTGCATGGGGGTATCTTCATTCCACAAGTGCTAAACCAGCAGTGTTGGGGTTGGCTAGCTCTTCTTTGGAAGGGTGAAAAGTAAAGTCTGACAATGATCCATAGGACTACTTACTAAACTAACACCACCTTCAGGCGGTGAACACTGGAAAACTAAGGCTGCGAGGTCTCAGGCTAAAGTGGCTCTGGCTCGTCAGCTAGGATGGGATCCATCTAGTTAAATTCTCCCTTAGATTGCAATAGGGCTAGCAAGCCAGCGGTGGATTAAAATCTTGCTCGAAGAAACAATAAGATGAGAAATCGGAACAGATCAAGTGGTTTTAACATGTATTAGGACACACCAGATAGAGTCCTATGTCACTTAGAAGCACAGCCAGAGGTCGACCATGCAAGCCATGCATAGATGGAAAACCTGAGGCTATAAATACCAGTATCTACGCTTAAAACCTAACTCAGAAAGGCAGACTAGAGAAGAAGGGAAAAAAATTTTTGTTGCTCATTGATAGTTTATAGATGTTTCAGACAATAACATCAACTAAAAGCCAGTTTGTGCTTTTACTGCCTGAGTTTCACCATTACATTTCTTTATTTGTGAACATACAAACACTATATTACTATAGGTGAATCCTTATCTTTACTACAAATCTATATATAAACACATATGTTAGCACACATATGTGCATGTATAACAATGCAAAATCTTTCGCAAATACTGCCTCAGGGGTACAGAGTGTGTCCTTCAAATATGTTGGAGGTAATAAGGGGGTATGACTAATTATCTTACTGATTTTTTTTTTAAACCATAAACTGATGCACTATCCATTTTACAAAAAGCATTGATTATATGTATGGAAGTGTATGTATGAGTGTGTGTGTTAAATGGCCATAACACGCTTTAAAAATAAAATACAATTTGAACGGTTAATGTTTGGAATAGCTGAATGTAACAGGGCCTGCTAGCCCAATTTGTGACCCTTTGAAAATAAAGATTGTTCCTTTTTTTTTCTTTACGTTCACAAGCTGTTAACTCTGGTGGAAAGTTTTGGTTGTTTATCCACTTCTGAATTTTGATTTTGTGTCAGAATCTTGAGTTTTTCCATCCACATCCATTTTACAGATCCGGATTTTGTGTGAGTAGACTGTTGGTTCCTCGCCTTTCAAGCAGATGCAATCTGACATCAAAAGAAACACCCTAATTAATCGCTTTGTGTGACAGACTTGCACTGGTCTATTCTTTCCACCCCCCCCCCCCCCCCCCCCCCCCCCCCCCCCCCCCCCCCAATGGGACCCCAGAACCCATGCATGGCAAACTGCCAGTTTTGAACACTGAAACTGGGACCACCTCCCTCTTCTTCCAGTAACCATGACTTCCAATGATGAACTTTAAAACGCTGTTGCTCAGGAGAAAAAGAGTTTACTGTTTAATTAAAATGATGTTTCAGAAAAAAAATCTGAAACATTATTTTGTTCTGTGATGTTATTCTTGATAAAATATTTAAGCAGAACAATTTCTAGAACCACATTAATAATTAAAATAAGTATGACAGTTAATCTGATGTAACTTCTTAAAGTCCATGCAGTGTGATGCTGGTATCCATTTCTCTCCACAACCTTCTGTCTTGTGTACTTTCTATCAACTCTGACACTGATGATCCTCCATGATATGATGTCAAACTGTCCAGCATCTGTTCTCTTGGTCTTCCTCTGCCTCTCCTCCCCTCCCCTCAAACTTTCCTACTGTCACAATGTACATCTATCTGATGTCCACAGGGTACTCAAGTACTTAAACATATCCAACTTGCTTGAGGTTTGTCCCATTTTCTTTGATGCTGTATTTTGGAGGGTCAGTTTGTTTTCCTGTATCTGGCCTAACATGATAAATTAATTATCACACACTGAGCAACACTCTCTGAAGGTATAAGAAAGCAGTATCATTTAGAGAACACGAAAAAATGAAAGCTATGGGCACATCAGAACTGTATGCATTTTATATGAGCTTCAATCTCCTCATGTTGGCTGTGAGTGTCCCCAAATGGGATAATAAAGAACAGACCCCTGCCATGTCGTGAAAGTTGAAATATAGAGATGTTTCCTTTCAAGTCAGAGTGTATCTGCCTGAAGGGTGAGCAACTAACAATATGCATACAAATAAGCTAGATCTGAAAAACAGATGTGCCTGCAAAACTCAGGTTCTAAAGTTGACAAGTGGATGAACAGCCAGAACGTTCAGACGAAGAAGAAAATATAAGCGCTAATCAAAATAGATGGGACTTATTTTTCATGTTATTTCACAGATTTGAGTTTCTTGGCTACTGATATTTATTTGGTGCAACTACATCTTGTATGATATGGCTTATCCGTGTGAAATATAGTGTAAATGTAATTAGGTGTGATCCAAACCATGACTAGAGCTGCATGAAGTCAGCCAATAGGTTAGACTCACAAGAAATGGTAAAGAAATTCTTGATGGCACGAAATATTTGCTCGACAGTGTACTGACATGCCAATGCTGCCTTAACTGCCTCCAGGTCTAAAACTGGAGATCCCAGGGTCGAAGCTGATGCTGGTGAAGATGGTGGAAATGCTGCTGCTGGTTGTTGCACAGATGTGGAGCTGGAAACTGTAGTCAATGATGAAGTGTCAGTTTCTGTGTGGAAATAAAGAGTTACCTATTAACTAAACAGAAACCAAGAGTTGTTTAGTATTTGTCATTTCCATATGATTAACTCTTAAAAGACAGTAAAAGGGCTTATAAATAGAAGCTGATATTTACAAATATCTATAAATAAAAATTTATCAAATGGTGTGTTTCACTATAATCTGACTAGGCTATCCTCCGACTAACGGTCAGTAAAGATGGCGGCCGCAAAATATCCTTTCGAGCCACAGTCACGTGACTTAATTTGCAGGTCTCCGGCAGTTTTCCGGCGACTATTGCCACCGCCACGTGTCCCCCACGCCGCTCACGCGACATGGAATGGGGATAAACTAGATGGCTAGGACCCACGAGCAGCAGCCGCGGTGTGCTCGTGACTGCTAGTGCGCAACTGACGCGTGACTGTGGCTCGAAAGGATATATTGTGGCCGCCATGTTTGCCGACCGTTAGTCGGAGGATAGCCTCTGATTATATTAATGACTACTGATCAACAAGCATACCTGGCATACCCATAAATGCTCCGTCTTCTGCAGCAAATGTCTTTAGGTACAGACTCTGACTGTTCCAGTAGCACATTGGTGGTACAGACATTCTTCTCTTCCTCTCATATAACCCTTCTTGCCTGATCTACACATAATTTTATATTCAAGAAACAGTGCACATGTTTCATCTAACATTATCATTTCCATCAGCATTTGTTCATAAATGGTCTGCCTTATCCGATGCGAGTGTTCCTGCCACTATTTTTTTTTTAATGGTCATGTTATAATAACCATATATAACAAAAATATAGTTGAGCTATAATGTAACACTGCATGGAAAAATGCACAGAAAGGATAATTATGAATCAAATTTGGGAAACGCCCTCTGTCTTTTAAGAATTAAATATACAGCAGCTGATAAAAAACATGATACATAGTTACATTTTAAGTTAGTTTCCTACCCTTTACAGCTGAGCTATTCAACTGGTGGTCAGTGGGCCAAGTCTGGCCCATGGAGACCTAGCAAATGGCCCATGGATCATTGCCAGTTGTACTGTATTAATGACCTGTTAACGCATGAGCTCAAGCCTCTGGCCCACGACAATTCCCATTCTCAAAACTGTCACCCCTGAGAAAATAGTTGAATATCCCTGCTTTACAGGATGTTTCAAAACCAAACAAAAATTTTTTTTTATCAGTTTGTAATTTCAACTGGCAATTTTATTTCAGTTGTTTGCCATCCACACACACAAAAAAGTATGTGAAGAAAAGAATTTTTTTTTTTTTTTCAATTAAAAAAAAAAAACATCTATAATGAATACAGTCCACCAACCGGGTATTAAAATCAATAATTAAGATAATGAATATGTCACATATTTTAAATATTTGAGCTTAGAGTAAACAAAAATAGCGACTATATAAAAGAAGTAAGAAAAAGACTTCCTACAGCAATGCAGAGGTTAAACAACATAAAGAGCCATTGGCACACACCTGCACCATTTTAAAGTAAACATTTTGAGATCATGAATCTTTCCTGTGGCAACTTATGGTTATGAGTCATGGACTCTTAACCTTTGAAGAGAAAAAAATACAAAACTTTTGAATTGAAATGCTACAGAAAAATTCTTATAATACCATGGACCAAAGACGAAGAAAAACATTGACATCTACAGTTTAGAACAATGAGGGGAACTGGCTGATAAATAGCATCTTCTCCCAAAAGCTGAGCTATTTTGCCATGTTAAACATGTTGGTGCCTTGGAGAGAACAGTGATCGAAGGTGGAAATTCTGTAAAACAAGGCAGAAGCCGACCTCAATGAAGGTGGAGACAAGACACAAGACACACTGAATATGAAAGCATAGAGGGCTGGAGAACTGACTAGAGAAAGATTAACTTTCAGGTGTGCCATGAAGAGAGAGCGACGTTCTGTGAAGGACCTGCTGACATGATGATGATGATGAGTCTGCTACTGGTTTTTGGTTGGTAAGCTTTCAATACCACTATACCACTATCAAAATCAACACAAGGCTAGTTTGCTGTCAAACTGCCGCAGCTCGAATTGAACTAGGCACCTTAGAATTACCAAGTGCCTTTGTCAATATTAAAGCCACAGATGCCGACCCAATATACAGACTTTACTTAAAAAGTATTTGGGATTCTTCTTCTTCAATTTCAGCTTTTTACCTGTCATAAATAACATCCTGGTGGCCTTCACTTCCTAGTACACACTTCTTATACCTATTGTAAGCAGTGATGACCTCTGAACTAATATCTTCTTCTTCTTCTTCTTTGCGTTCACCAGCTGTACACTCTGGTGTAAAGTTCTGGTTGTTCGTCCACTTCTGGACTGCAGTCCTGCTCCAGAACCTGAGTGTTGCGTGTGCATCAGTTTTACAGATCTGATTCAATTGAATGCAGACTGCTGGTTCCTTGCCTCTCAGGCAGATGCACTCCGACTTCAAAGGAAGCTCCCCAGTTAGTCGACTCTTACGACATGCTTTTGGGGAGGCAGTGGGTCTATTCTTGTTTTTCCCACAATAGGGCCCCGGAACCCACACGGGGGTGAACTAATATCAAGTTTGAAGATTTGTTTTGTCTACGTAACAATTATTAAATAATTTTTTTTGTATAGAGTCTGTTAAAAAAAAAAAAAGAGTATTTTTTTTTTTTTTTTTCAATATTCAGAATTATGGATGAGTCTGATAGCACAAGCACTTTCTCACCTGATGAGTGTAAAGTACTTGTTTCTTGATCCTTTTCAACAATTAACTGAAATATATAAGAAAAAGGGAAATTATTTTACATATTCTGTGAAAATTGTTCAGCGATGCTTATTGCTGCTGATGTGACACACGCATTCAACAGAATGTGGGCACTTAGCATGATGGTCAATAGTACATTTAAGTCTTTCAGTATGAGTTGATTTTGCAGCTGATGCTTAAGGAGGGAAAGGAATGGCAATTAAAAACAATTATCAGATCATTTCATTGAAAAAGAAAATAATAAACATACAACTGGTGGCCCAGCTGTTTTTAACCTGGAGACAATAAAAGAATCTATTTTGCCATGTCTGGGATTCGTCAGGGCATGTGATAAGAGCCCTGTAAACATCACGCATCTGTTGGCACTGAAAAATAGTAGGAATAAAATAATCATAGTACCAATCCATTTGGTGTCTGCATAACAAATTTAAGGAATCCGTGAAAGACCCTCAACATCAGAATGCAATCTTTGTGTGTGTGTGTGCAGTATGACTATTGAAAAGTAAGGTTCTGTTGGCAGACCTTTGAAAAAAAATATGGATTCTAAGGTCTTAGCTAAGTGGAAACTACTGTCATAGTCATTAATGAAAAAAATCTTTAAATGGTCTTTCGCCCTCAGTAAATTTTGGAAGTCATGGATGCTAAACATTCTATTAACATCATCATCATCAAGTGTCTTGTCGACGGATGTGAGCAATCATGCCTCTCCACAATCCGTGATTTTCAATGGCATGAATCAGATGTGTGGTGCTACCCCTTCATGTCATGACAAAAAGCTCTCAAGAATCTTGAACTGTCTTCGTCTGACTCTTTTCACAGATCTGTCCAGTGATTTCAACATGCTCCAGTTTCATTCTTCTCATAATATGACCCCAAAAAAATGATGACTCTCTTTCTGATGTTTGTGATAAGTTGTCTTTAAGTGTCTTTGAGCCCCAGTCTCTTTTAAAACACTAAGGTTGCTCTTTTTCGCTGTCCAAGGAATTTAAGAATTCTTCTGTGCTCCAGAAATGTTTTGTCTTCTTGATTTATTGGCTAGGATTCACAATTTTTTGTTAAAAAATGGCTCCACATAGCATGCAAGAATTCATTTTCCTTTGTGTGCTTAACTTTATGTGAGATCAAGCAGTCACATCAGACTCTGTAAATTGGCAAAGTTGTTGGTGCACACACCTGCCAATGAAGGGGATAACAGATCAATCCCTAGCAGAGACAGGATTCACTGTTACAGCTAGCCTCATAAAAATAGTATTAGAGATTTTTCTAGTAATTCTCTATAACGGAAATGTAATGAGGAAATAAAGTGGACACCCCAACATGGCCTGGAATATGTGAAAACTTACCACAAGTAACTATCATAAAATTACTGTTAACATTTATAAATACAGTGGCACCTCGGGTCATGAATGCCTCTAATCACAAACAAATCAGCCCATGAACAAAATTTCCGAACAAATTTTGACTTGACCCTCAAACAATGCCTTGGTGCACAATGCACAAACATTGCTTTAGCGCAATGATTTCGGCTAACGAACAGCATTAGTTGTACACAGGTTTGTGCGCTGTAGACACCTGTGGTTGCGTTGTTCTTGATACAGTTTTGTTGGGGGGGGGGGGGGGGGGGCATTAAATTAACCCTCAACATGACTCAAGAAAGTGAAATATGTTAGTGACAACGGTGCAAAGAAGCCTAAGCGTATTACAGTTGAAACGAAGATGGAAACAATAACATGAGTATGGCGTTCGCGTTTTTGATCTCGACATTCAGTACAGCATGGCTAAATCTATGATATCTACTATCTTAAAGAACAAAGATATGCTAGAGACAGCTCATAAGTCTACAGAAGTGACTATGTTAACACAGTAAAGAGTGTTAGAAGTAGAAAATTTATTGTTTTATACATTTGAATTTCTTGTCACATCTGCCAAAGCCTTATATTGGCCTTTAAAAGTGACTGTTTCTACATCAGCTTCCAAACAACTCAACAGTGATTATTAGAGCTAACTTCATGGACATTAAGTACTTCATGGACATTAAGTACTTCATGGACATTAAGTACTTCATGGATGTCTTCTTACCTGAATAAGAATTCTCAAAAATTGCCAGTGACATGATTTCAAATGTTATTCCCCCTCCAACTCTTCTGTTGAAATCTCACAGCCACATGTTACAACAGTAATGATCTCTCTCTCTCTCCCCCTCCTCCTGAAGGAACGTATGTATGGGCAAGTGTGTGTGTATATTCAAACGTGTACATTTAAAGGATATAGCTGCTATTGTTTCATATTAGTCTTTTGAATTAAGTGAGTTTCGATGGCTTCAAAGCATGAGTGCACCAATTACCTATTACAAACATTAATTCATTTGAATTTAATACATTAATAAAGGATTAATTTTTATTCATAACTAATGAATATTCTAGGCTGGTGAACCATTAACGCATCCAGTTGACTAGAAATGTGAAACGAAGATAGTGGTTTTACCTCTACAATTTGTGCACTATCAATGAACTCTTTGCCTTGTGACTGCAGCAAAAATTTGCACTGTGGAGATGCTTTAGCATGCTGGACTGCTGGGTCAGCCTCAGGTGACCAATCACTCAGGCCCATACCACAAGTAAAGCAAACCACTTTGTCACTAAATCCTGAAATTTAGAAAATAAAAAAAGTAATAAGTCACAGTGTAATATTATGGCATGAATTACTTTTGTAATCATTTTACAGTAAAACCGCATTATCATGAAAACAAAAAACCCACACAAAAAAATTTAAGTATAAAATTTGAGTTAACCAGCATTTTTTTTTTGTGCATACACCGGCAGTAAACTCCGGGGGAAAGTTCTGGTTGGTTGTCCTCTTCTGGAGTCTTGTTCCATAACCTGTGCAGCAAGCACATCTGTTTTACAGATATAACTTATCTGTATGCAGATTGCTGGTTCCTTGCCTCTCAGGTAGATGCACACCAACGTCGAAGACAGCCCCCAATTAGTGGATTATTACAACATGCTTGTTGGGGAGGCAGTGGCTCTATTCTTGTTTTCCCCATTATCGGTCACTGGAACCTACACAGTGAAACCAGGGATTAATAATAATATATCCATGCTGGGATCACAATTTTGTTCATGCTAGCTGATTGCTCTTCTTAAGTGAGTTCATGTTAATGAGGTTTTATAGTATATAGTATTTCATTTACTGGGAACCAGAGTAGTTAGCATGATTGTTTTCAGGCTTCATAAGCCTCCAGAGGATTTTTTTTTTTCTAAATATCTTGGCACCCAGGTAAACCCAGTCTAAAAACGAATAGCAGAAATGTTCTGGGAACTAAAGGCAGCAGTGTGATGAAAATGATGACGATGATAACATCGATCAAGTGCTGATTGGTCTATACAATTATAAGTCTAGTCTATTTACCCAGTGGGAGATGATTCTTCTGAATTTGCTGGCTGTGAGCTGTAGCAGGAAGTCCTAGTTGTTCAAACATGACTGGATTCTGGTCTTGTTCCAGTACTTGAGTGTTGCATGCAGACCCATTTTATAGATATGGTTTAACTGAATACCTTCAGTGAAAGGCTACTTGCCTCTCAGACAAATGTGCTCTAATTTTGAAAGAAATATCAATCCTGTCTACGCTGGCCAGACATTCCCAGTGGGGAAGCTGTTTCTAGGATGACTATATAGAGGTGTAGATAGGTCTTGACATGTTTTGAGTCCTGATCATGGTGGTGGTTGCCCTCTACATCCCCAGTGGGAGATGAAAGACAGAAGAGAAGAAGATCATATCAAATATACCCTGCTTTGGTAGGTTTGCACATCCCCAGTGGGAGATGAAAGACAGAAGAAAAGAAGATCATATCAAATATCCCCTGCTTTGGTAGGTTTGCACATCCCCAGTGGAAGATGAAAGACAGAAGAAAAGAAGATCATATCAAACATCCCCTGCTTTGGTAGGTTTGCACATCCCCAGTGAGAGATGAAAGACAGACGAAAAAAGATCATATCAAACATCCCCTGCTTTGGTAGGTTTGCACATCCCCAGTGGGAGATGAAAGACAGAAGAAAAGAAGATCATATCAAATATTCCCTGCTTTGGTAGGTTTGCACATCCCCAGTGGGAGATGAAAGACAGAAGAAAAGAAGATCATATCAAATATCCCCTGCTTTGGTAGGTTTGCACATCCCCAGTGGGAGATAAAAGACAGAAGAAACAAAGATCATGTCAAATATCCCCTGCTTTGGTAGGTTTGCACATCCCCAGTGGGAGATAAAAGACAGAAGAAACAAAGATCATGTCAAATATCCCCTGCTTTGGTAGGTTTGCACATCCCCAGTGGGAGATAAAAGACAGAAGAAACAAAGATCATGTCAAATATCCCCTGCTTTGGTAGGTTTGCAGCAGGTGCTGTGGCTTTATAAAACAGGGGGTCTCCAGGGCAATGTGGTCAAGCCCTTTGCCTCGCACTCTGAAGGTTGCGGATTCATTTCACAGCTGCGCCATTCAGTTCACGAGTGCAATTTTTATCGAGATCCCTACTACAGAGTTCATGCTCTCGGAACGCAGCTAGCCATTCTGCGGAAAGATACCTAGCCATATGGGATAAAACCCGGTGCAATGAAGTCGATCCTCTCGACTTTGACCTTAAACTTTAGCTTTATAAATACACATAATCTTCCAACTTATAAGAGTCCTATCCTGAACATGCAAGGATTAACAGCATGAGAGAGGTGACATACCCGCACTTAAGACACCAAAAAACTTGAGCTCTAAACAAAATACAGGTGAAGAACTATCTAAAACAAAGACCCACTATTGAATGATCACAACTCATGTGATAAAGATTGTGTGAAGGAAATTTGGCTTAAAATGTGGGAATGGATAGAAGAATATCTAAAAGCTAAGGAAATGATGTGTACATAATCAATCCACATTGCAGACAAATATTATGAGAGAAAAAATGCAGACAAACAGTATGAATGAAAGTTTGTCCTACCCAATTACCTTGCAACCCAAATCAAAATGTGCCAGATACGAATTTTTTTTTGCATGTACACACGTTTAACCAATTTGGTTTGTTTGTAAGCAGACTGTTGGTTCATCGCTTATCAAGCAGATGCACTCTGACTTAGAGTAAGCACCAATAATTAGCTGGCTTTTATGACATGCTTTCTAGGGGTGGGGGTATGGCAGTTGGCCTATTCTTGGTTCCCATTAGAGCCCCAGAACCCATATGGGAAGGTTCTCAGAAATGAGTTCTGAAATACGATTTCAGCAGCAAATATTGCTCATCCTGTAACCTTTTTGAAAAATTGAAAATACTATAGACAATTTCTCTCAGCAATCCCCAGAAATCAAGAGCTCACAACATATAAGTAGGTTTGAGAAACTTGAATTTTAAAAGTTAAATAGCATTTAGGTACAGTATTATTGTAAGTGCATTTTGGGAGGGCTTAGATTTAGGATTCTCCATTGAGTTTCAGGGCTTCACTGGGAGTAGGGGACAGACACACTGAACGCAGAAGAAGAAAATTATTGAGGAAATAAAGCAGTCACCATGCAGTGATCAGGTTTATGATTTTCATCACGGCATATGCTTGAGATACTGGGGGCATAGAGGGGGAGTAGAGAGAAAGGGGGGGGGGGGGAGAACCAAGAATATGATGGCTTTACATAAAGATGGTCAAGAGGATATGTTTCATGAGAAATCTAAAAGTGAAAGGAAAAAAAATGAAGTCCAGATAAGAAAATAGAAAGTGCATCATATATTTTTATTTTTTTGTTATGTTCTGCCATCACATGTCACATAGGGCTCACAGTCTATTGCTCAGTTGGGCTCTATCCTGTGCAATCAGTTCAATTTCATTGATAGAATCCATTTCAGCAGCTTTGGCCTCTCTCATCAACGGTTGTCTTAGGGCATCCTAACCTCCTTAATCCCTTTATTTCCCATTTTAATGCCAATTTGGTGATTCTCTGCTGGCTTCTTCTCAGGATGTGCCCAATATAGCTCCATCTTCTCTCGTCTTATAAATGTTGATAGTGGATGTGCATATATCGCTCTTATTTCTTCACCCTTTTTTAATTCATCCCATTTTATTTCCCTCAGATATGTTTTCAAATACAATTAATTTCTGTTCCATGTCTTTATTGGGTCTCCAACTTTCACTTGCATACGTTAAAACAAATAACAGAATTGAAATATGTAACTTGATTTTAAAACTATACAATTTAGAGTGCTATATTTTGTTCAAGAAAAGATATAAAACCGAATGAAAATTATATTAAGAAAAGATATAAAACCGAACGAAAAGTATTTTATTAAAAGTATATTTTGTTGAAGCTTGTAAAACCTGCTGATGCCTTGCCAGTGCATTATATATAGCATTATAGCACACACAAAATTCTTTGAGATGTATAAATTACTCAGCAAATTCGGACCTTAAATGTGTGGAAATTTAAAACACTGCATTCATAAAATGGTTTCAAATCTGTTATTACATACCTGTGTAGTAAAATCCACATTTGGCCATGGTGATGCCAGGAACTGCTTTAGCTAGCCACTTCGGCCAGGTTGAGAAAGTTCCCACACGAACTAACTCATCCTCATATTCAGGGTGCTTGATTGCATAGTTAACTTCAGTATTATTTTCAGCACCGCACTCAACATTTTCAGCATCTTTTTCGCGGACTTTACGCTCGACTTCCAATGAAATATTACCAACATCAAACAATTTCACAAAAGGGCATTCTGGAGATTTTTCATCGTGTGTGTTTTCTAAGGAAAACCTGCTAGTGGGCTGAAAGTCCAATTCCAAATTACAGAACACACAAAAGACACTTTTAGAGGTGATGTTATATACAAAACCTGCTTCAGCGTACAGTTCAGCATGTGTTGAAATTAAATCTTTATGAATAAATGTTAACAGTCTGTGACTTTCAAACAACATGTCATAACCCCCTTGCTTAGGCAGAAATGGATGTTGAATATCAATAAAACCTGGTGAACTGCGAACACTTAGACGTAACATATTTCTAACTGTCTCATTATCAGCACTGTTTTCATGTCCAGTTAATAAAGAAGCATCCGTGAGTGAAGAAACTGGTGGTGTGTTCAGAAAGATACATTTTGGATTCAGGATACGATGCACTGCTGCTGGAGATTCACCAGCCCAACCACTGTATTTTGCTCCACAAAACAAGCACTCAACTTTATCTGAAGCAACATTGGGTTTACGGATGAACCCTGCTTCTGCAAGCTTGACTGGAGAGTTGGAAATTGAGCTCTCTAAACCACTGGGCAGTGTGGAGGAGGTATAGAAAGTTTGCAAGCGTCTTTGAGGCGACCACAGCTGTAGCATATCCATGGCTGGTTGGTTTTGGAAAGTATTGTAGTAAGTTACTAAGTACACACTACAAGAACTAGAATCAGTCGGTGTAGTTTGTTGTAATTTATCTGGCCGTGGTTTTTTTTTAACCTTTGTGGATATTCAGAGTTTGACAAATTTATACTAGACACAGCAGTGTGTATGCTAATATATATATAAGTCTATACTACATATTTTACTTCATTTAATTTTATTAATTATAATTTATTTTTGTCGCCGCGAAAAATGCGAAAACAGTTCACAAAAACTTACACAACAATGGATCAATCGGATGGATCAAATGAAAAGTACGGACTGCTACTGAGAACTGTTTAATCACACAACGATATACTTGCTTAATAATCAAACTTGTGAAAATAAAATAACTGCTATGAAGTGGCCTTGTATGCATCAACAATTCGAAAGAAACAATATTTCCATTCTTAACTGCATGGCTGTTACTTGCTACAGGATTCAGTATTCTTCATTAAAATTTCGTGATTTTATTGTATACAAAGAAAGATAACTTTTTTTCAGTCAGATTTATCTTCCCATAGTAGACAACTCTTCTATATGTCCTGTGAACAAAACAAAAAAAAAGGTAATATTGATTAGTGCGAAATCTACATCATCATCTCTCCAAGCAAACCAACAGATGCTCCATATCCCTTATCAAATAGCACAGGACGTTGATGCTAACCATTTGTATTTCACTCATACTGTAGACACTTGGGATTCGTTCACTCGACCTTCCTTCCTTGCTTTAGAAACTTCAGATTGGTTCCCCCATTCATCCTTCCCTTAGGCCTATATTCTGTGACTGTACAATAAAAACAAAACAAAACAGGCATGAATAAACATATTTTGTCTGTTCGTGGTTCTGCACTTAGCAAGTTAGCAGTCTTTTCTTGGACAACCTTTTAAATGCTGCTCTTTGTCTATCGCGAGCAACTCAGTGATCATGAACCACAAGATTGGCTGGCTCGAGCAGACGTGTCCAGACTTGTCAAACATCGCAGGCTTCCTACTGACAAAAACGCATCCATTGTTAAATTCAAGTTGTTTGCTTCAAGCACTCCCACCCGCTTTCCCCCCTTCCCGTCTGTCTCTAGATGCTAGCTGTATATCTACTAACCATATGTTATAACCCAGTTGGGTTGAACAGGATATCATTATTCAAACTAAAACTATCTCTGCTGCTGCTGCTACTAATGCTACGACTAACAAACACTACTACTTTACTGCTGTTTTATTTAATAGAGGAAAACATGTTGGAGACAAAATGTTCTGAAGTTTACAGAACCAGGTAAGGATTAAACAGTACGTCACAAGAACAACGATTTGTATAGATGATGTTAGTCTATCGTAAGACAGAATAATGGTATCACAGATCGCTTTAAGCATTCGCAAAGATAATTAGAAAACATAATTATCTCTATGTAAAAAAAATATGTTTAAAATAGAATTCTACAATCTGGGAGTCGCCAGGGTGTAGCTGCTAGACGCTTGCCTGCGGATCGGAGGGTCGTGGGTACCAGACGTAGTCCAGGGAAGTAAAGGTGGCTGGCGTGATGGTGACTACATCACCAACCAAGTGCAGGTTGGTTTATAAATGTTTTTTTTTTTTTTTTTTTTTGATTTTTGGTTTATAAATATAGTTCTATATGCTCAATACGTCTGAAGGCATGGAAAAGAAGCTTTTACTTTACTTACAACTACAGCCTGTAACAGTGAACATGAATGTATGACACGACAATAAGCCAATGACAATGCAGCATGCTAACTTCTAGACTGCTGTAGAGATTATAATTACTAACTTATAATCGCCATAGAGAGCTTTTAAAGCCCCCACCCCGGCAGTCGTCGGGAGCCCTAATATAACCTAACGGTTAAACAGGGTTTCTATGACTTATACCCGGCTGATCCTCAACCTAATGGTGGCCCTTTTGAGTCACCGGGTTTTTTGGTCGCTCGTTGTACGGTCCTGGTGGGGTCGAGCGGACATACACACAGGAGGAAAGATTGAACTACCTCAAAATAAAATAAAGGGTATTAAGTAAACGCGCTTTGTGGTTCCGAGGTAGCCGGTTCGATTCCAGATGCGGGAGACTGGGCAAGAAATTAATCCACTGAACTGTGACTAAGAAGCTTAACTAGAGGCGGGGGTGGAAGGGGAAAAAAGGCAGATTACCTTGCACAGCCCACGGCCTTCTCTATTAGAGATGGCGTTGCACAGCCTTGCACACACTTCGATCATAGCATCAAGAGCCGACCGTTTAGAAAGCAGTGGCAAACTACCTAACGTACAAACTGCTTCGTAAAACAAACCCAAAACAGAAAAAAGGCTGCAGCTAGTACTCCGACGTCTTGTAAATGATACGTAACTAACTATTTTTTTTTTTGTAATTGCAAAGCAAAATAGCAATCATTCAAATCACTTTAAACATACCACAGATAGATAAAACAGTCTGATCATAAGAGTTATTTGACAAATAGACTTATCATGGATTGTACTGAACAGTTGTAATTAACACACTATAATCTATGCGATAATAGTTAAAAGGACTCAAAGATAAATTTCCAATAAATTTTTAAAGGGTATTTTTACATAAAACAAATGAGAAAACTTGAAAGAGATGCTTATATTAACTTAGTACACCCACTTGGTTGCAGCGGCTGAAGTAATTCACTTTCTGGGACTAGATACTGATCGAGCAAGTTTTCATGAGTTGTGTTCACTCACTCGCACCTTGCACGCACAGATACAACAAACAAACGAGAAGATTATCATTTACCGCCACTCAAACTTCTAGAAAGTGATACTAAACCATCGGAAACACGGAAAAGGTAGAGAAGAGTTATGTGAAGTATACAAGAAGTATAGAAATAACAGGTGTACAGCATGAGCAAAAGCGACATTTTCTCTGTTAACTCTTTCTTTCCCAGACATTTGTTATCCTAGCCATATTATAGATCAGAATTAAACACAATATAAACAGGATAGCCGTGTTGAGTTAGCGAGTATTATGAAAACTCCTACGCAGCATAAGCACGAGAATTATTTTCTCTGTTAACTGTATCAGTCCTCAACTGTTTTCTCGACAATAATATTTTGGGTCATCATGCGTTAAAGAAGCATTTTTAGGATATTAGTGATCACATCGTTTCTTCTTCTTCCCGTTAACCGGAAGGTTCTGGTTGTTCGTCTACTTCTGGACTCTAGTTCTGTTCCATAAACTGCATGTTGCCTGCACATCCGTTTCACAGATCTGATCATTTGTATGAAGACTGGTGGTTTCTTGACTCCCAGGCAGATGTGCTCCGACTTCGAAGGAAACCCCAATTAGTCGACTCTTACGACATGCTTGTTGGGGAGGCAGTGGGTCTATTGTGTTAAAGTCAAAGTTAATAACTAGAACACAGAAATGTCCACTAAACCCCAGCGATGCGTATTTATTCATAACTGACACAAGGCTCCAAGATCGATTCAGCATATAATGGGCACCACGAAGTGTCATGGGCAGTTAAGGCGGACGGTGTGTTACTAACCACAACGTTCAAAGAGAACTGAAAGATCTATTGAAACTATGGGTATAGTGCCTTATGCCAGATGTACTAATGGCATGAAAATGGTTTTTTATGTATTCAACGACATCAGTTACAATGGGAGACATTCTGAAGACCATTGATAAACCAATGATTATAGGGGACCGAAGATTAGTTGCGTATCCTTGGCTGTTGTGTGGTTTTTTCTAGGCAAATTTACGTCCAGTAGTTTACCATTATTGCATCGACAGCCACAGAGCCGACAGGGGACCCAAGTAAGAATAAATAACTTATGCAAGAATTCATGAACGCGGAATTCGGTGTGAACCCGGTAAGAAGGGATGTTTGAGAGGAAGCAATGACGTATGTATAGTCAGTGTGTTATGGAAACATCAACACCTTAAAGAATTTTTTTTGCAGGAGACGAGGCATCTATGGGTATACCTGATGTGTTTTGATATCGATTCTTAAACCAGTAATCGCCCAGCTCTCTAGCGTAATTGGTTAAACCTGACATCACGGTGATCGGGTGACGAACTCCTTGTGGTCCGGGTTCACTCCCGGGAGTAGGCAGAAAAGCGAAATTTCTCCCAGATTGACGGTACCTATAATAGAATTAGGGCCGAAGGGTTGCAATATCCATAGTACCGAGCCAAAAGGTTAACAACTCATGGTTTCTGGATATTAAAAAAAAAAAAAAAAAAACCGGTAATCAGTAAACTACAATAAAGTATTTTCAAATTCAACCTGTCTTGCGTTTCAGGAAAAAAAGACAACGGATGGTATTTTGGTGACAGATGATCAGATTACTGTTATGTTGTTTCTAAGTGCTGGCCATGGCTCGAGTAAGAGCGTTACCTTGGAACATCCATGACATCGACAACTACAAAACACACCAGCCACACTTGTGATATTCTCATGATGCTGTAATGCAGCTATAGTATCACAGCGTTTGGCTGACTGACTGACTTTCTACCCCACCAGGACATCACACAAGCGATAAACTCCCGATGACACAATGTGCCACCATGTGGATGAGGATCACCGTTGAGAGGTCCCAGAAACCGCGTTCAGCCAGGGGCCATATTTAGGACCGGGCTATATTGCGGCCTCTGGCAAGAGCCAGAGTAGAGCATTGTCTGTCGTGAACGTCTACACTTTTGGCCAAAGTCAACCCGCAGCTAAAGATCCTTTTGATAATTAGAATCCTTTCAACTTGAAGTTCAAATAATTGAATCACTGACATTCCGATATTTTGACCAAATTAGCATGTAGAATACCGAATAGGGAACATCAATATCAATAAATACACTGAATAACACGGCAATGTCGAGAAACCGTCAGTCAATCTTCTGCAAGTCCCAAAACACTCTCTTTCTTTCTCCCGTCACATCGCGTCTCCGTATATTCACTTCAAGGCAAGCTCCAACTTCAAATAAAGCCGGCCG